GCAAGACCCATGCAAACCTTAGCATGTGTAGATCACTTTACCAGAAAGAGATGTCTACCAGTTCAAACAAACAAAACAACAGATGTAATACACCCACATCTACCACAACAACAGGTACTTTTAAAGTGAAAATGGTGAGTGCCAATTCATGAAAGTCATCCTAAAGCCTTCTCTCAGAAGAAACAAGTTTTCCTAATCAACAAATCAAGATCTCCCAAAAGCAGGACTTATTCAAAATAGCATTACAGTAACTCAACAAATTCTCTACTGAAGGATAAGTTACATCTGTGCTGAGTTTCACAACAAAATTAGTATTGTAAACACTGGAATTCTTGGACACATTAACTAAACAAACAAACAAAATGACTACAACTAACTAAGGATTAAGAGATTATAAACATGAATTCATTGTGGTCTCACTATTCAATGTCCTCCAATAACAGGGGAAAAAAAAGGGCATTTGCTGAAGTTATTTTTATTGTGTTAATCCTTACTTTTTTTACCTACTTAAATAAAAAGAATTCTGGAAGGGATCTCTTAGCCAACTACAGAAGAAGTTGAGTGATTTTTGGATTAAAAATGTAAAGCTCAAGCTTGAATATCCTAGTATACTATCTGAGCTAAAACACAATAAAAGAACATCAAGCAGCTGATACTTTTTTTAAAAAAAAATATTAAATAATAAAGCAGCATACTGATAAACACCTTTGTTCTTTCAAATCAGCTGCTTTTTGTTCTTCATGTTTATCTTTTAAAACTATCAAGACAAATTTTGAAGCTCTGAATCAGACCATGATTCATGGGAGAATCAGAGCTTGGCACTGAGCAGAAACCCACGCAAGTTTCTGCAGATTTGGACTAATAATATGTTGCGTCAGTTTGACATAAACAATTTGGGAAAGGTAAATGCAAAAAGCATCTACCACTAGCTGCACCAATTTTAATTCCTTTGTTAAATATAGCCCACTGAAAAATATCTCCCTTACCTGATAATGTAAATAACTAAAATCAGTTTTATCTGGCCCTTACATAGACTTACATATCACCCACAAAGCAGTTTTCATGATAATCTTGAGTGTTAGAAAATTTTCTCCCTCTTTCATACCTTTACCTAAATGAAGTTTTCTATTTTTATTTGTGTATTTTACATTTTCCGTTAATGCGCTACCTTGTGCCTGTGACAAGGCAAGAAAAAGACTTGCTACAACTACTCATGCACCCTTTCTCTGTGCATGTCCTCTTTTCCCAATTTACATCTGTTGCATCCTGTTTGCTCTTCAAGTAAAGTTTGCAGTATGGAGAATACCATAAATCTAATACAGTATTTGTATAAAATAGCAATATATTGTATAAAATATCAAGTGTATGATTCATAGATACAGCACCATTTTCAGAAATGCTGTGAAATACAGTAAGGTGGAATCAAAGTAAAACTTTTAAGTAGATGCAAGATATGCAAGGATACCAGTCCAATAATGAGCATGAGACTAGCCTTTGCTAAGGGTAGATACACAGAAAATTACAGGCCCCAGACTTTAAAATAGAACAGCTCTTTGCTCTAGGTCTTCTCTGCTAGCAGAGACCGAGATTTTTAAACAACACGAGCAAGGACACAGCACTAGAAACTCTCTAGGGCACATGAGCCCTTGGACAGGGTGTTATTTTAATGATGAGTTTAAAGTCTAATGTAAATATATTCATATTACAATACCTACATTATCCCTGTCTTGATAGACTAGAGGAACTTACTTTATCTTCCATTCTTGTTTACTAAGCTAATTCAAATTAGCTGCTGTATTTGGGAAGGGAAATAAACATACCAGACTGTACTGCAAGATTCTAGCATGGCCATGCAACATTTATAGTTTTAGGACTACTTGAGACCATGCATTACAGGTCTGTACTATACAGCCCCTAACAAACTGCTTCACTACAGTAACAAATGCACTACCAAAAAAAAAAAAAAAAGTCCCCTGCCGCAACTAGTTATAGCCTTCATGGGAAACACCAGGAATGCAGAAAATAGCATTCAGTCTCAATCTCACTTATACTTTGGGAGACAAGACTCATCCATCTATTATGTCCTCTTGCTTTCTGCTTCTGCTGTTCTCAAAAGCTCTGGAATTGCAACTGCCAAATACACCTTCACTGGAAAAAATGCACTCAACTGTACCTAAAGAAGCTGATGCATCTTAAAATTTTTGAAAAACTTACACTTAATATTATTGTTCTTGATTTCATTCTAAACTCAGAGACTTTTTTAAACTGGGGTGGTTTTTTATGTTACATAATTATGAAGAATACTTCCCTATAATTATTTTTAAGCTAGATTGTCTGCAGTTAGCATAGCAACAGATTCAGTTTGTGGAAGTTAGCACACACATCATTCACAACGTGAGGTGGCACAGCAGGAGCAGAGAACATGCCAGTTCTAATGCAATAGATCCAAACTGTGCTTTCTGCTCCATTTTAATTTTCTCCTTCACGAAAAATTGATTCTAAAAATAGTAAAGTCTATACAAAAAATACAAATAAAATATTTACCAGTTGTGTCAAGACAATAAATTATTTTCTAATATATTGAGTAATATATTTCCTAGGAGTTTCTAAACTGAATTATTATGCAATGGCTTTCTTGTAAGCAATATTGTAAGCACTTGATTTGTATGATTAATTTTCCTAACTAATAAATGGAACATCAATACGTACCTGCAATTTCTTCTATGGAGTTTGCTCTCATGTCCAAAAGAACTGTGCCATTCAGGATACAGCTTCTCAGCTCAAACAAGCTATGAAGTGACAGTGTGGCAACATATGGTTTACTCCACCTCTCTCCACCATCCTCTACATCTTCTTCAAACTTCAACCACCTGAGCAAACAACCAATTTTATAACTCCATTGTGCATAAGAAATGAAAAATAAATTACTTCCATGGATATTGAAAGATCACTGTTAAATGTGTCTTTGGATTTCACTTTATTCTCTCTTTGTAGGAAATAGGAAAAACTTCCCTTGCCTGCTTCTTCCATATAATGCTGTATTATATCATTTTTGAAGGTAAATTCTGACCACAGAGATGAAGAGAAGCATATTAAGTAATCATCATTGTACTTTACAAAACCTTTGAGCAATTCTTTGGCATACAATGATACTTCTATGACAGAACAAGTGATATGAAAAGGATAGAGAAGAAGAAAATCTATACATAGTAAGAACACAAGAGAGAACCTTCTCTGTTTAGTCTTCACTTTGGACTAAACACAATAAAGAAGAGACATTTTTCATTCAAAGTAAAATATACTGACACATTTACACTTTACAGAATCCAGCCATTATCCATAATCTTTTCTCAAAAGACAGTTATGAACTTCATCAGTTGAAGTTGTTTGTTATATAACTGCACTAAGCTACTCATAAAGGCAGTAAAACATGCAAAATTTAGGATATTTTCCATTTTAAAGTTCAGACAATTAAAATGAAAACACTCAAAGGCACACACGTGTACACACAAGCAATGTGTAAACACTTGTGAATAGTCTTTCAAACCCCAAAATATGGGCCCTACTCAAGCAAAACAGCCACGTGAATGACATGAAGTAGCACTTTCGAACACAGTAACAACATCATATGTCACTATTTTGAGTCTCATTTGCCTGTTCTCAGGTTCAGTGTAAACCCAAAGAAACTTCAGTGAAGTAAAAGGACACATGAAACTGGCATGACAGGATCAAGTCTTTTGTTACTAGCCAGCTGGATGAACTTTCTTGCATGACTTTTTAAATGTTTACTGATAAAAATTGCACTAAAAATTTTAAAAGAATAATAAGCAAGCAAAGCAAAAAAAAGAGAAAAGTCTATTGATACATGCAAAAGTGTTTTAAATTGAAGTTATTAAGTCTTTCAAGCATACACAGATGTTGCTGTGTGGAGCCATGCAGCCTGCCAGCTTGCCAAGGTTTGAACAGCTGCAGTCACAGCAAAAGCCTCTATCACTTGACTCAACAGTACTCAGCTATTTTGTATGGACCAGGGCACACAGAACTCAAGCAGAGCCTCACACCTCGGCAGCACCTTCACACTTAGTTCCAGACAGCAGGGAAGCGTAGAGCCTTGAGACCTCTAAAGCTGAGCAATTTCCAGTTTTACCAAGCCTCGCAGCCCAGTAACACAACAAACGCAGATCCCTCCTGTTCCTGGCCCCCCTGTAAAATATGCCTGTGCACCCATATTAGAATCATAGAATGGTTTGGGTTGGAAGGGACGTTAAAGCCCATCTAGTTCCAACCCCCCTGCCATGGGCAGGGACACCCTCCACTAGACCAGGTTGCCCAAAGTCCCATCCAAATCTATATTTTAGATACTTTCCTCCTTTCAGTTCCTGTGTACCAGGTTATTCCCCTCCTGAAGCCACCCTGTGAGCAGCCAACACTTCAGTGACCCATATCTGCTCCCTTCCTGACACTTTCAATTTCTTCTAATCATACCAGCTGCCTCCTAATCAGTCTCCCATTATTTACATAGACAGCCCAACTCCTTGGCTCCTCCAAAATCTCCTGTGTCTAGCCCTCTCCTCCTCTTTGTATTTCAACATTTTTCCCTCCATTTCCTTTGTGCTGGCCAGTTTCTGTATCTTATCTTTGTCCATGAGACCTCCTCTTCATCAGACTTCTGTTCTCCACTTCCTTCATTGCAACCTCTCTTCTCTTGCCAGTCTATCTCCTTTACCTTTTCATTCTTCCAGAGAAGCAGAAAGGACACAGCACACACAAAGAGCTGAACCATGAAACTGAATTTGCATATGCAAATGAGGATTTCCAAATAGATTTTCAAAACAATGTCCAAATGGACATCAAACACAAATTAACACACCCCACCCCCACCAAATTCAAAGCCAATGGTTGGAAAGGGATGAGCTACAACAACTCAGGAAGGTTACCAAGAAGCATGTGAGAAGGCAAAATAAGTTCTTTTTTTCATTTTGCAGTTGCACTTGAACTCCCTAAGAAGAGGCCGCTCCTAACTTGCTCATGGTGCTCATGTTTACAAGCTAAAAATATGCTAGACCTATTTGTGGCCATAACATCACAAACGTTAATTGTCCTGCTTAAACTATTGCCTCCTAAGGCTCTGCGAAGTATCTACATTTTTATCTTCTCATACCTCTGTTTTTGTGCATGTTTCTAATATCTTTAGGAGTTTTATAAGATTACAATCTTTGCACTTGGGTATTCCCAATTATTTCTGATGTACCATCATCTTGTTTAATGCTGATTCAAAAAAAAAATACTAAAATCATGCCACATAAATCTTAAAAACAATGATCCAGGCATAGATTCTTATAGAATCTCATGAGAAACCTCATACTGCCATTACCTTCTGTTCATGTAAATAGTCTTCAGCATTGCTTATCTGATTATACTGCTGCAGTCTGTCCTTGATATTACCTATTTTGAATATACTGACCAATTCTAAACAGATTTTATAATGAGGGATAAAAGACAAACATGTTCCAAGTTTCATTAAGACAGGTGACTGGACAGAGGCGGGCTCACAACCAGAGCTCGTAACTTACTAGGGACACATGGACAAGAAAAGTCTAAATCACAAAACCAGCTTAAATTAAGAGTTTATGATGCCAATCGGACATCAAAGCTTACACACAACATAAAAATCCATAGAAAACTATTGCTACTGCTCCAATAATCACACTTGCTATCATGATCATCTCCATCTGAGTTTCAATCAATTTGAATAGTATAAATCTGTAGGTTGCATCCAATTTCCTACTGTTACTAAAACTTACGTGTTTAAACACATTATCATGCATTGTTACTTAATGAGCCAACAGGCTAGTACATAAATGTAAATCATACCCAGCTGAGAGATTTTTACATTTGGAATAAACTTCTATTTTGATTTTAATAAGCATTATGTAAGTTTACTCATCTCATCAAGGGAAAATCATGTTTATCACCTTTTATCTTTTCAGAATTATTCTTGTTACATCAGATAATCCTTATTTAACATATCAAATGAAAAACAGTAGCAGAAAACATAAAACAAGCAAACCTCTAACCTTATGCATAGTCTGTCAATTCTAAATGTTCAAGTGGTTTTAAAAAATCATACTGCCATTTTAACAACCCTCTGAATTCATGTACAAGATTCAAGGATAGAAATGGCTTTGAAATTCAAATGCACGCATGGATCCCATGTTTGCCAATTTTCTACTCTTTTTAGTTTCTCAGAGAAAAAGATAAATTTTAATACATTTACTTTTGCAGTTTAACCCCTTAAATTGACATTTAGATGTACAATTTGAAGGAGGTAAGTTGAATGTGATCTACTTTATAGTCTGTTATATCTGCAGCAGAGCGCTGAAGTATGTGTTCACTTACAACCCGCTCCAGAGTCAATGTTATTAATGTAATCTTGCAATCTGTATAAATTTCCACATGAGCTTTTGCCTGCCTACGCTGATCAGAAAATGAACCAAAGTAAACAAGCATGTCAGAAACAAAGCAGAAGTGACAAACCTAAGTTTTTTGTGACCTAGTTTCTTTGGAACAAAGTTTTGATCCAGGGGAGAAGCATTTTCACTTCATAATCATAATTTTTCCCTAGTACATCCACTTTTTAGTCACTATAAATTTACTTTCTAAACTACGGACAGAGGTTTATTTTCATAACTGTGCTGTTTCATTAAAATTCAAGCCTAAATGCTTTCCCATTGATTTCAAAGTGTCTTTCTATTTTCCTCCTTACTACATATTCTTTTCTGTTCCAGAAACGTAGTGATAGTCTCCAAAATTTTCATTTGATATAAGCAGATAAATGAGTCCCAACAGTTTGTGTAAAACCTGCACTACTTTCCAGCCGTGATCACAACAGACTGTTAGGATAGATTTGAACATGAATTGCTTTCCTAATAGCTGCAATTTGCAACTATCCTACTGTTTACACAAAATAAGCCAGCTGTTATGGCTCAGTGTGTTTCTCCACAAACTTACTGGAAATATTTTTTTCAGGATAGAAATTATACATCATGCATTCTCTACACAATTGTACAGCTGGGTCACACACCAGACTGACTATTGATTTTAAAAGGTACGCGTTTCTTCCAGCTTGAAATCAATTAATGTGGAAAAAAAATAATTTTATCAATCACTATATCAACATAAGTTATTCCATTCTGCTCACTAACTAATTCCATGGATGGGACAGCCTAAATCAGACCTTGGAATGGAATAGGCTGCAACAGCACTGCACTTTCTTGCTCCTAATCAATCTGCAGGAAAAAAAAATATGGAAACTGGAGGATGGCAAAACTTGGAGTCTCCTAACTGCTGAGAGAAAAAGAAAAGAGAAAAAAAAAAAACCTCTGGAAAAGGACTTACTCCTCCAAACAAATGAAATAGGAACAGAGGAGATTTACCTAAAGAACACCAAGCTTCAGTCAAATCTTATCAATGGCTCCCTTTGATGTTACTATTTTGATCAACCAAGAACAAAATGTCTCAGTTTTACACAGTTTGCTCAAGGTATTTTTAAAAAAGTTTAAGGCTGAACTGTGTATGCAATTTCAATCAAATTGGAAACATGAAGATACAGATTTACTGCATCAAAGTCAACTCAACCCTTCAGCCCATGCAGAGTTTGATGAAATTAATATAGAATCACTTAGTGCCATCATTCTCATTAAACACAATTAATGACCGAGTCTTCCTCTGTATTGCTTGCATTTAAATTCATCAACCTGGAACTATGTCCAAAGCCAGATAATAAGATTTATAAATACTTCCAGTGGCATTTTCCATACAGATGGAAAACATACAACAAGGCTGGAACGGCAACAAATCCAGGGCATACCTTCTCATGCTTTTAATCAGATCAGTATTTCTGAAGTCCTGAATCAACAACCAGTACTGAAAATGATCCATTGTATTAGTTTGTAAGTATATGATCTTGCATTTTAAACACCACCCTATTTCTATTACTCAAAGTCACCTTGTTCTTTGTCTATGATATACTTATCTATTTCTAGTAGTAACAATACCTCCTAATTTCTTATCATCAGTAAGTTTCATTACTACAATCCTGGTTTTTGTCATTCAATAAAGCCATGTACTAAGACTAATTCTTCAGAAGTTGGTTGTCACTACCTTCCACACACAGTTTAATCTTTCAGCATGACTTGCTGTACTTCTTCAATTAGTTCCTTAACCACTTTTATATTTTTTACACTAAAACAGAGTTTAAGTAGTAAATTTCCACTGCTTTATCATATCAAATGGTTGTCTAAAAAAAAAAAAAAATTGAAAAATTAGATCCACTGCTTTTTCTTTGTCAGAAAAACAAAAATCAATTATCTGATTAAATAGCATTATTAAGTTTGCCATGATACACCATAGTATTGCATTTTATCCAATTTTCCACTTAGCTCCAAGTCTATAATTATTCTTTCTTTCAAATATTGTTCTAAGCCTTGCATAGTTCTGAAATCTGACTATCAGGCCTCTGTTCATTCCAATGATTTTCATCCTTTCCTGAATAGTGTGGCTGTGTTTGCTATAGTACAACCTACCTGATAGATTCACAGAACGACAGGGCTTACCATACCCATGAAATACATGTTCTTTTAGCTTTCTAAGACAGAAATTATTGCACCCTTTTATTTGCCCAGATAAAGCACTTCGACTCTTGCCTTCATTTTGAATTTTATTGCCATCTCCTCCTTTTCTAGCACCAAGCCAACTCATGTCAAATGCATTCTGAAATTTTTGGATCCAAACTGAAAGAGATCATTTAACTTGACCAGTTCCTTCTGCATGGCAACTCCACTCTTTCTTTGTTTTCATCTTATTTCTAAAGCTAAAGACATTTTTACTATTAGCTATGATACCTCACATTTGTATTTTCTGAGGTCCAAAAATATAGTTTTCTTGGCTGTTTTTTCCTGTCCTTTTTCAACAATCTCATCAGATCTCTGTTAAACATTTTTGATTCTTTAGTTCCCAAATGACAACCGGAAAGGCTGTACATACAGACAGATCAATCTAAATAGAAATTTATTTCATCTATTTTTTCAAATTTGATCTTACGTATTTATGTTAATAAAAATTGTTATAATTTGCAGACACAATTCTTCGATGATTTACAAAGGGATTTTTTTTTTTAGTTGAACTAAAGAAGCTGCTATTTTCTCGCTTAAAAATAACATAAGCTACAGTGATTTTTATTTTTAATTACAATTTTCCTAGAAGAGGTCCTATATATTCCTAATCAGTATGAGAACACTGCAGATGATTAACTTGATTAGATTTTCTCTCTGTGAATATTAGTAAGATTATTTAGGAACACTACTACACTCATTTTGCAGCACAATCCCCATATGAGAATTTTCTACATGTAAAGATCTATATTTAGCATGCCTCCTACGGACACATAAAGGAAGGGAAGGTCACAGAAAATTCTGTGGCCCTCTGGGAAAGCAGAAATTTACAGTAAAATTAAAGGGAAAGCTAACTGTCATATTCATCCCAAACAGCCCACATACGTAGTTCCCACAAAATCCTTTCAGAAATTCCATAATTTTTATCCTATTGACACCAAAGATGTAGTCCATAGACTTCTGGGCACCACTGAGGAACACTGTCAACAAATACTGGGAGGGAGGGAAAGAAAGAATTAAAGGTTCCAAGAAGAAAAATGAAGCAAGACTTGCTGGGAAATGTAAAGTCCTAATGAAACACAGCAAGTCATCTCCCATTTAGGTGCTCAAGAAAACAAACGTGCAAAAAAAATAAAGTTCTGTTCCAATATTAATTTTTTCAGAAAAAATGCAATCCTAACAGTCTTTTCACACTAATTTTGTGGAAACAAAATAATCCAACATTGAATACTCAAAGTCTCAAAATCGACTGTTCATTGATAGATAGAATATGTAAAGTGTTATTGTCTCAAAAGTAATCTCATTCCTTGCTTTAATCTTTTTCTAAGGGTAATTTTATCACTTTCTTGTGGGACTCTAACAGAATACAAAATTTGAAAGTTTCTTAGAATGATGAGGTAAAATATAAATTAAAAATTACTGAGTATTCATTTATATTATATGTTTACTTTTGATTTTTTCCCTTGATATTCATTCTGACCTATATTTCACAAATCCAGACGAAAACATTTGGCTCTGGGAAACAACAAATGCTGTAGTAATACTAGCAGTCTACGGATTAAAATTATGGTTTTATTTAAGCTTTATATCCCAAATCTGTTCCTGAGCTTGCCACAGCTTTGAAATCATTCCTCAATACACCAGCAACCAATAGCTACAGATAATTTTTAAAAACTCATGAAAACACTCACCTTGCTGTCTCCCTCCACTCTGCGTCCTCTCCTTCACGCCAACAAATTTCATCAAGCTCAGTAAAGAGATCATGAGGAATGTGTTCCTCGTCGTCATCTTCTGTTCCAAGAATAAATTGCACCCTTTGTGAAGGGGTATCTGGGGAAAAACGAAACTATCAAGTCCAGAACACCAATTTTTTTGCCCTAAGCAAGGACTAAAAATTTCATGAGATTATCCAGACTCTTTCATCCATACCACTCACTGCCACACAGGAAACATGATTATAGTTATGCTGTAAGAACATGTATAGGCAAACACCTTCAGATTGAGATCTCTTTATTTACTGTAGTTGTCTAGTCTGTTAATTAAACAAACTCATCTAAAGATAGAATGTGATGTACAGAAGTAGTGACTATTGGAAGCTGGAACGGTATCTCACAGAATAAAGGCAGCACAGATAGCAGCATAGATAGAGCTGACAAAAGCCTTTTACTCCAGTGTTACAAAAACTACTTTGCCACATCGTAAGTCTAAATCTACACATCTAGCTCAGCTCACAAAGCCGGTGTACTAAATGTGCATTCTTTGTTTTACCTAGCAGAAGAAAGCAAGCAAAGAAAACCTCTCTAATGTCAATATACAACTGGGAACTTCAAAAATAATATATCACTATCCACACCTACCATCCCCTGTCCCTTTGTAAACTCTTTCTACATGGTTAGGCTGTTCCAGATGAACAAGTTGTTTATCTGTCCCAACTTCCCCGTTTATACTTCCTGTCTTGGTCTTCCCTTTACATTCCTATTACAATTTATTTTTCTTCATAACCTTTCAGTGCAGACCACTAAATATATTTTGGAGACATACTATTCTTTTTTTCATCTCACTCAGAAAATTTCCAGAACTCACAGAGCACCTTAACGTATGTGTATATTCAGTGTTCATAGCTCAGTGCTGCAAGTCATAGAATGGTTTGAATGACAGAATAGTTGGGGTTGGAAGGGACCTCAAAGATCATCTAGTTCCAACCTCCCTGCCATGGACAGGGACAAGTCTTAAATAAATAAATAAATCCTATTTGCTTATTTAAAGGTAAAACTCAAATGAACAAACTCTGGATGAAAGCCAGTGTCTCCAGAAATACATGGTTATTTTTTTCTGCTACTGTATTTTAGATTTCTGAGAGGAACCAAAAGTCCCCTGTGAGAGCTGATAGGGGCCAGGCTGCCAGTCAACCAAAAAATTGATTATCCAGCAGAACAGCTCAGTGATTCCTGTAACATTGTCTAAATAAAGTTCTGTTCTACAACCATATTTGCAAGACAAGCTACAGTTTTTTCCATCTAACAGTGAAGAGTATCACTGCATAGGATCCTCAAGCTCTCAATTTTTAAAAATTGAGGTGAAAGCACTCATTGAATGCTAGATAAAAAGCAAATACTGATCAAAAATAATTAAATGGGCCACTGATACAGGAGATTAAATCCAGCAGTAAAGACACCTTTTTTTAGCAGTAAACTTGCTATAGCAATGAAACAAACAGTACATGGCAGTTTTCACCTGAGGTTTATTTGCTTAAACATAATGTAAAGATATAGCATGGCCAAGCCTACTTACTCCTTTGCAAAGCAAGGAAATAAAACCCAGGAAGAAGAACAGGAGAGGAGGGAGAGAGAGATGGGCTTGGTGCTACTAAGCTCTAGAGAATGGAACTGCAAGGGGACAGAAATTAGTTTTGGCAATTCATTAAAGCACATCAACAATCTCCTCCATTTTACCCTTTCTTTTATTACTCTTCTCTCTCACTGTTTAGTCCTCTTTTTTCTCTAAGACCATTTCAACCTCTATTCTAGACTCTCCCTATTTTTTTAAAATTCTTTACGTTCCTCTTATCCACATGTTGGTCATTCTAGAAAAAGATAAATACAAACATCAAGATTTAATCTGAGACTAGAAAGTACATTCTGGTCAAGAAGCATGCAACTTGTTAAGACTATTTTCCAGAAGGACAAAATTCAGCGAGATATGAACTTGCAAAGGACAAACATATATGACTGGTGACAGAACACAGAAAACAAGCTACTTTGGTAGAGAGCTGGAGTGCAGTGAGAATCTGAGAATAAGCATTGCCAAGAACATCCTGTACGCTTGATAAAATCAGCACTAGAACTGATTTACAGCAACAGCTACTGTTAAGTAATAAATGAGTGGTGTTGCACAGAAGAGCTGCAGTTTTATAACAGTTATGATACTCATGCAAATGCATGCTTTCAGCATGGGAAGGAAAGCAGAGGATCAGAAATCCCTTGAAGTCAGGTGAGTAGTACAAGAAAATACCTTACTACTGTGATTTGCTCTTACTGGTTGTAACACACAGCTACTTGACTGACAACAGTGAAGAATCTATATAAATGACAAAATATGCATTAAATTCTCTTCTTCCTTGTTAACACACCAATAAAACTGGTTGCTAGATTCTGGCTATCTTTTTTTGCTGCTGTAATTTGTATTGGTGTCTGAAACCTGCAAGCCACAGCTTGATTTTCAGACATCAAGATGGAAACTGAAGGTAAAAAAAGAAAAAAAAGTTATTATGTGCTTTATAGTACAATAATTTTATTTCAAAGACAAAAGCCTAAGAGAATTAAACAATAGGAACACAATAAATTAAAAATCAAACCTGTTTGTTCTACTTATAAAACTGAGTTAACAGCATTACTCATATGAGCAATGCCAGATGGATTTGGCTCTTATTCACAGGAGTAATAAATACGAGATATGTCATTAATGTGTTATATGGAAAATGAGTAATAAGTGATTCAAAAACAGTATGAAAGAACACTTGAATTGCTGACTGTCAAACTGTGATAACTTAATCTTCAGTGTAGAAGAATATTTGCAAACTAGGACACTCGAATTTTTTTGAAGTGTAGGAAAACAGAAATTGGCTTGAATATTATCTGTCTATCCCTACTTCAAGTAGTACAGCCAGCATTAAAAAAAAAATCCTTCATGTTGTTATTGCTATTTCTACAAAGTAATGAAAGTAATCTAGATTAAGCTAAAAAAAATTAAATTAATGGAACTAATTTTTTCACATTAGTGTTTCTATCACTGCAGTAGTTTTATATCAGAGCACAGAGGTATTAGAAATAACATGAATTTAAAGTTCCACAATAAGCAGCTGATGATTCTCCCAAGTAAATGGCTCATTACCAGTTCAGGAAATCCTCCAGGACCAGCTGGGACCAAGCAGAAAATCTGGTACATGACAGGAGCAGGAGTACCATCAACAACCACCTGTTCTCAGCTAATGAGCCATCTCAGGGAAAGTTGAAGCAGCTTTCTGTTTGCTGTGGCTTCACCAGCCCATGGGAGCCTCCTGCCAGACTCTGTGTTAGACCTGGGCTTCTCTGGGCTTGTGCTCACATCATCCATGCAGCACTCACGGACATCCAAACTACCTCTGATACCTCAAATTCATTGCATGCATGGAAAACTTGAGTACTCCAGGTTTTAAAATCTGTATAACTCCACTGCACTGTTAAAAGGGTAAAAATTAAGACCCGGTGGATACACTATTGTCAAAAGCACAAATTCATACTGGGATTCAGTGCTGCAGAAAGGACCTGACCCTGCAGCAACCTGACATACTGCTCACTGCTATGACTCTTAGTAAAAAGTCATTAACATCCCCAAAACAAAAGCAAGGTATGGGCACAGACATGCCAAAACAGCAGAACTGAAGGCCAGAACTGCTAATAACCTAACTCCCAGAGGACAACACAAAAAGCTGCTCCCTGGAACAGTGCTGAGTGCAGGCAGGGGGAAACAGTGGCCTACATCACCATCCTACCTTGCAAAGCACATGTAGGAGAGAACCGTAACTGGCATTTCCCCCATGTAAAAAATCCCCAAGTGCAACCACAATTCTGGGTCAGGACTGCTCCTTCTTTCCTAAGGGAACAAGGTGAAATCAAGACTTGGGCTAGGGTAAGGAAGCAGGATCATTCTCAGTCCCTCCAGATAAATCCAGCCCAGCAAACAATTTGCTCCACTGCACCCTTCAGACTGACACACACCTCCTCCTCAGTGCGTGCCAGGATTTCTCCTGAGACAAACCACCCTGCCATCAGGCAGAACTGCAAACAATCCGCCCAAACCGTACCACAAGGAGAAACACAGCCTTGAGTACATATAAAACGTATCCCAAATTTTGTCCTCTGCTCTTGATAAATTTTAGAAAGGGTGCAAAAATGTATTTCTGGTAACACTCTGTTAGCTCAATTGTCAGAAGAGGTTTCTGTACTTCTAAGCCTGTGGAGAACCTGCATATAAGGGAAGTATTAGTAGGCTAATAGTTCTTACTGGGGTCAGTAGATGCAGGGGTAAAAAATTACTTTTTCTACATTAGAAAACATGCTAAATATTAAAATTTACATTACAGAAGTTCACTTAAGACAATAAACATTATAGACAAGGTTTAATCCATGCCTCATGCTCTTGTACATTTACATTGAAGTAATATTAAATGTATAAACTCTTTTTTCTTTTTTTTTGATTGCACGCTGCACAGGACGGGCTGCAGACAGGGAGTGAACTGGTATAACACAGTTGCATCCGTAACAACTCCTTTCAAAGGGGAAATGGTGTGAAAAATTCAAAGGATCACAGAAAAGAAAGGATCATTTCACATACAAACATTCACCATCCTCCTGCTTGCACTCACCAAGGAAGTGGTGAATGGGGCTCTCATCCCACCTCCTTCCTGTGCAGATTGGACTTTGCCCTTCAGCTCAGCAATCAGTAAAGGTAGGGATCATAAACTACTTTTTTTAATTAGAAAACACAGTAAAAATTAAAACAAAATTTACATTACTAAAGTACACATAGAAGAGTAAACAGCCATACAGCACACTTCTGAAAATCTCTTCACAGACCTTAGAAACCACGTGTTAGGTTGGCAGAAAGTACTCCCTTGCTTGCTCCTCTGGCACTTTATCCCTATACATATAATCTTGTTTTCAAGGAAGCACTCTCTACGTTTTCTTCACATGAACTGTTTCCACCACCTCAAGGCTATGACAAATAATCTTATCTTTTGGATCAGACAATATGGGCAACTCCCAAGCTTCAATTCTCTTCTTTTTGCTAAA